GGTGTGCTTTCTAGGTGTATATTTCTACTTTGCCGGTTCAATAGTCCTCGTGAAGCAGCTTACTCCGGTTAGCTTTGCTGCTGATTCATTGCTGGCATGGAAAGATGATGAAATTCCAGTGTGAGGTAGGGAGGGGAACAAGTCGATGATCTATGAAAGGAACAATAAAGTTATCCATTTAAAAAAAAAAAATGATTTATTTTAAAAAACAAAAACAAAAAACTAAACATATTTTATTGGATGACAAGATTTTTTTCAAGAACAGTTTTTCATTTAGGCTGTTCCATGCTTTAAAATGGAGAGGGCCCAACATTGTACTACCCTGTAGTCACGTGTTGCTATGGAGTCTTCCATGTAAGCCATGCATCTACTCAACCTCCCAACCTGGCTAGGTTCCAACATCTAGATTGTTAGACAAAAAACAGCACTATGGGAAAATGGAGGTGACCACATCATTGCCACATCACATCAGTCCATCACTGCCAGACTGCTGAAAATCATGTCTTGACCACGTTAGCATGTGACCTTAACCATCATGGCCATCGTTATTCTCACCTCACATCTCAGGGTTTATTACTGCCAAACTTACCTGAGTAATGCGCTAAATAGTCAGATTGCAGATATTTTAGTCTTGTCGTAAATGTGAAATGTTGAATGAGGAGGAGATTGTATGCTTTTCTGTCTTAGCAGTGTCCTCTCACTTTGCTTGTGTTTATATTCTCATTTGACAGTAAAAATATCCACCCCCTGTGTAAAAGCTGTATGCAGAAGTGAACATGCAGCATGATCCCAATCTTTTTTAAAAGTATCTCATTGTAGTTATACAGATATATATACTGAAACATAGAAAGATAATATAGTATATTTTTATTAATTGGGAGCTAATACATATGTCATTCCATAGTTCAGTCACATCAAGCAATATTGTACAGTGGCTAGCACAATCCCTTTTCAAACATTCTTTTTCTTCCTGAAGTCCCGGACCTTGATTCCATTATACCCTACCACCACTGTATGATGGCCGCCCCCATTCCCCGAAACCCTTATTCTACTTGCTATCCTTATAGGTTGATCAATACCGAAACACAGAAAAACATGTAACACAACTTTAAGAGGGTGACCTCCAATGACATAACACCTCTGTGATATACCCTAACATGAACAAGCAAAGACAAAACAAAATTACAGAAAATGTTGAAAACCAGATCAGGTCCAGCATTGCCGGAGAGCGGGGATCAACTAACAAAGTTGTAACTGTTCAGGTTAGATTGATGCCTCTGATCTTCTATGCTCATCTCTCCAGTGCACTCTTGAGTAGCCACTTTCCTCCCATCCCTCAATTGTGGGTAGAGGAGATCACTGGAGGCTTATTTCCTATGTAGTGCCCACGGGTATAGTTTGGGTTCACACCATCATCCATAGCCCTCTGCAAACCTGATTCTCACAATTTAGGCTCTGGTACTATACCCTCCTTTGACTTCAGATTATATGGTTTACAATCCTTTGGTGAATGCTAATGGTGTGCTGCTTACCTGTGAACTTGACATCTCACTTAGACGGCTGCTTGTGTGGAGACAAGCCTTTAAGACCCTAGGCACTATTTTAGCTGATAGTCGGGCACTATCTAATTTCTTTGCCACCTTTTATAGCATACTTTTTAATTGACATCCTAAGAAAGGGGGAACCTTGAGGACGAGGATCCCAATTAGAACAGCCAGTCCACAGCGAGGACCACATGGCCAGCCCCACTATGAGACATGAGGCCCCCTCACTGACCCTTGGCCCTGCAGGGGACAGCACCAGAGACACAGTGTGGGAATTGCGCCCAATCTGATCCGGCCACACCGAGGCACTGGGGAAGTGCAGCGGAACAGCAAGGGAATGGAATGGCACGGTCCCCAAGGAATGCTGAAGGTGGACTTTGGGACCAGTTTGTAGTGCCCCAACAGACTGGACTGGAAAACCCTCCTAAAGGCCAATAAACAATCCTTGAACTAACTACAAGCTTTTCTTTCTTGTTGTGTTGTGTTTTGTTTTGTTTTTTTGTCATTGCTTTGTTGTTGTTTTGTTGTATATTGTTGCTTGGTTTTGCTCTGTCTTGTTTTTGTGCATGTTATTATCTCT